AAGTTGTTCCTGGAAGTGCAAGGGAAAGATGATCTATTAAGTCACTTCAATGAGGTGTTGTGGGAGCCACGTCTTGCATATTTAGCAGATATATTTGAGCAGCTAAACAGGCTGAATCTCAAGCTGCAGGGCAAGGACAGAAATGTGTTTCACCTCATGGATTGTCTTCGTGCATTTCTTGCCAAGCTCCAGAATTGGCAAAGGAAAGTCAATGCAGGAAATGTTGCCATGTTTGAGAATCTTTCAACTGTTCTTGATGAAAATGAAGATCATCTGCTTGACCCATCACTCAAAACTGAAATCACTCAGCACCAGAAATCCTTGGAAAGTGAGCTCAAAAAGTATTTCCCAGAATTCGAGGAGGAAGACGGGAAATTGGTGAGGAATCCTTTCTCTGGCACTCTTAATATAGCTACCATTTCCAATGATCCTCAGGACAAATTTCTTGATCTCAAGAATGATTCTACTGCCAAAGATCTCTATGAAGAAAGATCTCTGACTGTATTCTGGTGCTCAATGTGTCAGTCATATGCAAAAGTTAGCGAGATTGCACTTTGAGTCCTCTTGCCTTTTTCAACTGCCTATTTATGCGAATCTGATTTCTCCACCCTTCTACATATAAAGAGTAAAAGCCGGAACCGACTGGATGTGGACCCGGACATGAGATGTGCATTGTCAGTGACACAATCTCGGATCAGTCACCTGACTGAAAGGATTAATGTCAGCCTTCCCATTAAGCTGTGACAAAATATGCAGAAGTCATATGAACTTTTTCCCAACCAAATTCAAGTTTGCTGTGAGGCTTGTCTAGTAGTCACTCTAGTCTAGTGACGTCAGTTATGTAAATCATGTAAGTCTATCAAAATATAAGATAATGATGTTTGTCAACCTTAAAATAAAATAAGGGTATTCTCTTCATCTGCATTTTATTTTTCAACATTATTTGTGGGGGAGAAACATGAAGGAGGCCACGAGGATGTTGAAAATTCCTCAAGGGGGGATGGAGTGAAAAAGGTTGTGAACCACTGGGTTAGTTAGATTATATTAAGTTGTCATGTTAGCGTTAAGTTATATTATTATTTTTATTATTATTTTCTACAGGATTAGCCCACCAGGGCACAGGTCAATGACCCACATCAGGGCCTGGGACGAAAGTATAATAATAATAGCTCCCTACTACCTTCTATTATGTTATGTTAGCTTAGGTTAGCGTTAGATTTACGTTATGTTAGGTTTTCTTAGGTTAGGGCTAAAATTCACAGGAGATTATTTGTACAGTATGATGATTAAGTTTTGCCACAGGAAGGCGTGTATATACGAGCACATACAAATATTAAAAAAATGGCCAAAAAGTGTCGTCGACTCAGAAAGTTCAGTCACACAGATGATGATGAACGGGATGAAAATAATTATCTCTTATTCATGAGTCATATCAGTTTTATAACCTACTTCGCGGTCCTCATCTTTATAATTTATTAGGGCCATTTATGAGAACAATTTACTTTTATTTTCAAAAGCTTATAAACCTCTTCCTTCCTCCTCCCACTTCCTCCCTCACGTCTATAGAAGATTGGGTTTATTTTTACTGTACTGGTATTGACTTGTTCAGTACATCATGAGATGTATAGTTGTGTAAAACAATCGCTGAATACGTGGCTATATCTGGCATCTACTTATGGGTCATATAATGATGTCAAAGATGACAAATTCTCGATACAAAAATATGGACGTCAAAAAACATGTTTATGCATGGTAGTAGGCAGCTACCAAACAGGGAGGTCCTACCGCCTGGGAAGGTATTGGAAGCATAATGTGTTGTCTAATGGTAGACCCTGCTGCCATATGGCATCACGAAAATTGTGACCAAGTCCCAGGTTGCTGATCTGACTTGCTGCCTCATTTACACACAATTAGTATTATTATTATTGCAGTGACCTGTGCCCGGGTGGGAATATCCAATGTGTCATAGACACCCCTTATGCGCCACCTAAAAATTGACCTTGATATATCAATGGTCAAGATCACAATGACCAACGTGATTGTATATATTGTAAATCGCGACATCTCAGTAATTTTTTAATAAAAACTCTTAAAATTTGCTCTGGAGACTTTAAAGAACCTTCATCAGTTCATAAAACTAAAACGCAAACTAACAATGAAATGACGTCACGAGCGTTCTTGTGGCGAGGCGCGCTATCACTGCCTTCGACGTTATTATTATAGGGTATTTTTAGCAATTATGCTTTTGATTGATTTATGATTTCACTCATCCTACTTGGTTACGTGTATAAAGTGTACATAATTTTGCCGAAAGTGCTAAGTACTTCGCTTCACATTAATTGTTCCCTATGGAGCTTATTTCTACACTTTCGTTATTGTTACTAACCTTAGCATGTAATAGCTAGTTTGTTGTTGCTCGTGAACTTTACTTCGCGTGTGGTCCATAAATGTCTCACACAAACTGAAGCGAACGTTAGTGAACACAGGTGAAGGATCGTGGAGTATAATAACTGAGTCACAGCTTTATGTAGATCGTACCTCATGTCTACTGAATGTTTGTACGAAGATTTCTGGGACACTGACTCCTCGTCGCCTGTCACTTAAGATAGCCCAAACAGAGCAAAGAATGGTGCAGCAGTGCCATAAGTATAATCCTGGTTGGTAGAACACGACCATCTTTCACCCACATTACTTCTAAGACTGCTTCAGGGAGACTTTCCGCCGCCCGGGAGTATTAATATGAGGTGGCAAGAGCACTTATTGTCAGGTCAGGTGACAAAATACAAGCTATCAACTGGCCTTTTTCAGTTAGTTGGTTTACCCAAGATGGAGGCTAAACTTGGTTGTGTTCTATATCACGGAAGACTTAATCCTTCCAAACTCATTACCTGGTCCACCATATATCAAAATAACACTAGTACAATAAAACATATATATATTAACCACACACCTCAAGCACTCTACTATAGCTACCACAAATTATTAAAAAAAAAAAGAGAAATCCCTGACGGTAACAATTAATTTCCCACACCTATTAGCAGTTTACCTTGAGGAGGGTTAACTCCTTTATACGCTGTGTTAACTTACTCTTCTGTTTCGTTGATTAAAACTGAGTGGCCAGCATGAGAGGAGGCCACACAAAGGTCGACTCAAACACGGCAAAAGAAAGCATTACGGATCACTTGATGAAGCTCCACCCCAGATTATTTTACCAGAAGATTATCCACCCTAACGCTAACACTAACCTAACGCTAACCAAACCTAACGCTAACCTAACCTAACGTTAACCTAACCTAACGTTAACCTAACCTTAACCTAACCTCTCTCCTCTCACGTATTAACAGGGCGGTTAATATTTAAGTAAAATAAACAAAGGGGGTGAAGAGTCATAATAGAACATTGCTCGGCCGTAAATGACGCACTCGAGCTTTGACGGCCACCCAATACAAACGACACCAAACTACACACTTACTATGTTGTTAACTCAAGACCAGTACCTAAAACATCTGGCTACTTCACTCGATAACTAATTCCCAGAAAAAAAAAATAGTAACAATTGATACTCGAGAAAAGATGGGTGAAATGAGGTTAGGTTAGGTTGGATTAGAGTAGGTTAGGTTAGGTCCCGAACACTTACAATACGACAAAAGTTAATCCAGAATCTAAAGAAAAGAAAAATTAGGTGTGTTTGTGTCCCCTACTATTAAAGGAACTGTTAACCCCCCTTTACCTGGAGTCATTATGAGCTAGCCAGTAGTATTGAGTAATTATGAGCACTATTTAGTCATTTTGCATCATTATGAACACCCATGAGTCACTCGTCATCAAAAGGAACACCCGTGAGTCACTTATCATCAGGAACACCCGTGAGTCACTCGTCATTATAAGGAACACCCGTGAGTCATTCGTCATCATAAGGAACACCCGTGAGTCACTTGTCATCATAAGGAACACCCGTGAGTCACTTGTCATCATAAGAAACACCCGTGAGTCACTTGTCATCATTATGAACACCCGTGAGTCACTCGGCATCAAAAGGAACACCCGTAAGTCAATTGTCGTCGTAAGGAACACTCGTGAGTCACTTGTTATCATAAGGAGCACCCGTGAGTCACTAAGGATCACTACGAGCACCCATGAGACACTAGGGGTCAAAATGAGCACCCGTGAGTCACTAAGATTCATTACGAGCACCCGTGAGTCACTCGGGGTCAATACGAGTTCTCATGAGTCACTAGGGGTCAATACGAGCACCCGTGAGTCACTAAGGATCATTACGAGCACCCGTGAGTCATTTCGTGTCTGCTGGTGACTAGTGTTGACTTTGGTGACGAGGTTCTAATTGGTTAAAATGTTACGCAGCAAGTCACAATCTGTCTCTTTTGTAAACAACACGACTTATGACCTGCAACTGAGGCCCTGTTGACCTTTACGAGACTACCAGGCGTCTCCTCATCTAGTTATCTTGTATACAAATTGTCGATGTTTCTGGTCAAATGTTTCAGAAATCCGATAAATTGTTCTTGTCCATGTCCCATTTCGTCTTTTGACCTCTGGCTTTGACCTTGACCTAGTAAAGACACACCAAACATTATTGCAGTTCTGGAGTTACGATAGGATGGAGAGCGGAATGCGATATAGTAGAGGTACAATAATGATAATTAAAGAAGAAAAACGCAGAAGGGAAGAAGCATAGGTTATGTCGGCAGTGTTGAAAGATGTTAACAAGAAGTTCATTGTATCCGAAACATTAAAAACAAAAGAAACAACGAACTATCAATAAAGTAAAAACTACTTATGTTCTATGATTTCCCAACAAGTTTTCTATCCTATTTACATTGTAAGAGATCTCGATTAATTTACACGGGGCGAGGGACACAATCATATTAGCCTAATTAAACCAGCACTCTACTTTGTGTGGTGTTTAACTCTCAGTATGTTTACCATTATAATACGCATATACCTTGAAGCACCACTAACACTGGACAGTGAATACTTACGGGCTTAACAGTCCTTCCGTCAACACCGCTACCACCAGACTGACACGCTCTCAACTGAGCTCACCCACGCCAAGTCTGAACGCGGGCAGCCAACCATGTCCACCAATCACACACCTCACTCTCACTCCTTTACCAATCACAGTCATGTATAACAATAATGGTTTGTCCCTGAATGGTGCGACCCATTCTGCTTTTAGTTAATAACGAGTGTAACCCTAACTAATGAACTCGTGTAATTTACTGCCTGGTGCCCAATTTTCGAAACTACGAAAATTGATCTCCCTCCAAACAAGATACATAAGGGCTCACTGGCTCACTTAATATACGGCATTTACAGAAATAGTGGCTCAGTAAGACAACATCTGGACATCAAGAGGACTCTACTGCAGGGAGCCTCAACCTGGTGTTCCAGGTTGAGGCTCCCTCTTCTACTGTATTAGATCACCTGGAGTTTAGGCAGCCAAGCTTATTTCACCTGATGATTACACACACACTAACATTACCTGGGGGTTAGATTACGTTACGTTACGTTAGGGTTAGATTAGGTTAGAGTAACACTGTTACATCAGGTTAGTGATAAGGTTTATAACCCCATCTCTCAATCAATTAAGAGTACCGTCCTCATATCTGAGGGTTGGCGACCACAGTCCTCCACTCTAAACGTTCTCAGGCTGGTTTTACCAATCCTCTAAGGTTTTGTATCTCTCTGGGGACCCAGTTTTTAATTTCATTCATCCATCTCAGTCTGTGCCTTCCCCTGGCCCTCCTACCCTTAACTTTGCCCATTAATTTTTCTTTTTCTGTAAATTTGAAGAATTTCTATAGAAGTTTTTCCTAATCTTAATGACTAGTAATTAAATAAGTTAGTTAACCAAAGTTTTCATCAGTGAACAGTAACAGGTAGAGCGCAGTAAGTCATATATATCTTTAACGCTGACCTGAGACGTATAATAAGCCTGGTAGTCGAACAGCAAGCAAACAATGTTGACTTTATCAGACAAGCCCCCCAATGTGAATATAATAAGATAGCGCAACTCTTCCTGGGCTACGTGGCTTTTACTATAGAATGGACACCTCACATGACTGGCCTCATGAGGATGGTGTGGCCCTGAAAATTGGAATTAATACCGCCCCAGACAAACAGAATATGGCAGCCTAGGCCCACGAGCATTTCCAGCTAGATTCTGGATGAGACAGTTGCTAACCCATCAACATTTTACTTTCAACTTAAACTTGATTTCATAACTTGTAAATATGCAACTACATGAGGGCCGTCGTGACACCGCATGTTAATGAGTCATTGTGGCAGGTAGTAGGTAGTAGGTAGTAGGCAGCTATCGAACAGGGAGGTACTACCGTCTGGGAAGATATGGCATCACGAAAATTGTGACCAAGTCCTAGGTTGCTGATCTGTCTTTCTGCCTCATTTACACACAATTGCAGGATCTCAATTGTTTCTCTTACTATTGACAAGACAACATACTGTACATATAGCGTTTTTAACTATTGATTATTATTATTTTTTCTTTATTATCACTATTACAGTGTTGTTATTATTATTATTATTGTTATTATTTTATTTTACTTTTTATTATACTAAATTTTATTTACTATGAAATACTATTATTATTATTATTAAATTTTCGCCCCCCAGGCCCCGATGTGGGTCAGTGAACTGTGCCCAGGTGGGCTAATCCCCTTAAAAAAATATATATATATGTTTGTTTCTCATCTCCTCAGCACACGTGTTTTACACATCCTCACACAGTCCCCGCCTTTCACTGTTAACCATAATTTATATATTCACTTCATATTCCTTATTCTTTTGAAAATAAAACTTGTTGAACGACCACCCCCCCCTCTCCCACGTCACTGTGTTGTAAGGCATTTCTGTCCATTGTACATTTTCACCCCTTTAGCTGCTGTACCTTTTACAATAAACATTAATTATTATTATTATTATTATTACACACACACACACACACACACACACACACACACACACTGGATGCTCCTCTCGGAGCAGCCAGGTCAACTGTTAAGTTGGCCCATACCAACTCCCTCCCCTGAACCCTCCTCCCCACCGGAATATCAACAAGTTCTCGCCAGAAGTTACTATTTCAATTAGGAAAGGAATGGAACCAGTGTTAAACAGAGGTGAACAGAGGTGAACAGTGCTTAAGTCAGTGAGAACAACTCCACAGTAACAGTCGTACCCAAGTTAACCTTCACACAGTGAGGTCCCAGGTACCCAGTGATAACGGCCCATGAGACCCAACAACCAGCGATGTGTTAATCCGTCTACGATAGGAAGGCCTGGGACCACACCTCACTCATATAACACCATCTGTGAGGGAATTACTACACCACGTCAGGTCCCTCATAACACCATATGTGAAGGAGTTACTGCACCACGTGAGGCCCCTCATAACACCATCTGTGAGGGAATTACTACACCACGTGAGGCCCCTCATAACACCATCTGTGAGGGAACTACTACACCACGTGAGGTCCCTCCTAACACCATCTGGGAGGGAGTTACTACACTACGTGTTTGCTGTTCAACACCTACAATAATCTGTATGTTCACTGTATGTTCCTTTACCTTTCTCTATTGAAGGCTTTTGTTAAACCACCAATGTATGTAATAAGTCATTTATGTCCAATGTATATTTTCAGCCTTCGGGCTGCAGAACTTTTTCAATAAACCGTCAATTATTATTATTATTATTATTACACACACACACACACACACTCAAGGACCCGGGAAGTTATAAAAAACCATCTCCAATGACAACAACCTCTATCGCGTCCCCCTCAAGATAGCCGTCAGATAAGCATGGCGAGAAACTACTGCCATGCTGAAACTAATACAGCTGGGATTTGGGATCCCCAGAGCAGCCACGAGATTCCCCCAGCAGCATGAAACTACAGTAACACTTTCACCGGATGATTAAACATTCATATGCTTCTTGTATAAGTTAGATTAGGTTAGGTTAGCATTAGGATGTTCAATCATCGGGTGAAATAAGAGGGTTTGCCTAATGTTCATGTGATTCCGAAAAAGTTCTCACTAGATTTAGAATAATTCAAAACTCTCTATCATCTTGGTCAGAAGGGACGCAATTGTTCTAGAACAACCAACAGTCCAATGATACAGGTTACCCCCAGTGAACATTCATCGTCAAGCAATCAAGTCATACTTGCTTAGGTAAGTAATCAGCATCTCCCCACAGCACACAGCACACAGCAGAATGGATCAAACGACAGCAGCTGACCTCAGCACCCTCAAGACACGAGTGGGTTAACACCTCGTGATCTCTGACTATATCCCAGTGTATATAAAAAAAATACAAAACCGTATCTATTAACTTAAAAAATATATATATCCAAAAATGTATCCATTCTTGTTTTTGTTTTGTATTTTCTTTGGACATCAATAAATAGCGGATTTCTTAATATTTAAAGCATTTGTGCATACTTACATAATGACTACAACATACGAAAGCCTTTCCCATGTAGCATGTGTCTGGCAATGGGAATATTTCTTCAAGCTTCAAGAAATTCTTTTAGTTAATGAGAGAATGGGAGTGTATCGTTATATATTTCACATTTCTCTTCGGTAGAGTACAAAATCATGTAGGTGATTTAATGATAAATTGTGTGACTCTTAAACCACAAATTGGTGGTGAAATAGTAAATTTTTTTCACTGGTAATTTTATTGATTATATAAATAGTATCATATTTAACACAAAAACATTAAGTTTATTGTATATAAATAGACTGATTTTCTTTTACAAATTATTAATATGACAACAATGTTAAATATAAATGTAATACAGTAATGCCCTCAATAACTTTACTGATAATAAAGGTACATTAAATTGAGGGGTTTAAACCATATTATGATTAATTGTATAATATTAACTTTCCTAAATTAAAGGTTATAAAAGACACTGACTTAATATAATGAAAGAAAAGATATGGTCATTCTAGATTGCTAATTATGTTACCAAATTTAATGGGTGATTTTAACGTAAAAGTTGGGAAAGGACCAGAAGTAGACCATATGGGTTGGATAATAGAAATGAGAGGAGAAATATTAATTGACTTATGTTAGAAAAACAAGATGATAATTGCAAATACATGGTTGAACAACACCCCAGGCATCTCTGTACACGGGTCTCACCCCAGGACAATGTAAACAGCAAACAGAACTGAAGTCAGGAATCAAATATATTACAGTGGTATTTGCTCAGGGTATCACGTATCGACCTAACCTACATCGACCTGTCAACTCATCACCCTCATAGACCTATGGACCTATGGATCTAGCCCTCATCGACCTGGACCAGAGCAGATGTGTGTGGGTAGAGAACCTCCAACAGTGACGTCATCTAGACCGGTGCCCTCTGGACTACTACGTCATCCACCCAGCCCAGCTGACAGATGTAAACAAGAGGATATCTCCATGTACAATCAACTCTACGGTATTTGGTATTTCACAAACAATCATTAGTTATATATACACATAATATATATATATATATATATATATATATATATAATTTAAAACATGTCTTCACACGGTAGACATCGTGATAGATTATTAATTATCAAGTGCCTTGTAACAATAATGAAAAAATAACTTATACAATTAATTATCACTAAAATTTCATTTCACATTACCTTATTGTGAATGGATTGGCAAAGTTATTAAACATTTAAATCAAAGAAACATTTATGGATCATTCATATATTGTTAACGATCAACATAATGAAAACTTTGATGGTGATTCAAGTGACACTGTACCTCATGGCACCGTTAACACTGACACATGTGAACTCCAAGATGCGCATGAATTTCAAGTCATTGAACCTGAACTAACAGCAAACACTTCAGTAGAAGTGAGTGAAGCAGTCATAGATAAAACAGATAACGAATTATTATGTACACAATTTAGGTTAGGACGTTCTTACAACACTACACCTCTGTATTGTGAACCTATCGCTGACAGTGTATTGACA